AAGGCGCAGGTGCTGCCGGCGCAAAATTAAAAGCCGTTGAAGCTGCAAATAAAAGAACGCATTTAGATGTTGAACAAATCATTTTTCCTCGTATCGTGATTTCAAATTAATTTTAGAAGTTGGAGAAATCATACTTACTGAAGGATTTTCACTTTTCATTTTAGAATCTTACTTTTAACAATTCAAACAAATTTCCGGCATATACAAACATTAAGCACATTTTATTCTGGTTTAATAACCCAAATTTGAGAGGAGACGAAACAAACGTCAGTAGCAGACAGACCACCCTGTGAAGCAGCGCTGGTCAAAGCAACTAGAAGTTCAAGAGCCATTTTGTGCGTTAAAAGTTGTCCCTACAATTCTAGTTATTTCATCCAGAGCAACATCAGAAACAAAATCAATATTGAAATAACCAAGCCTAAAATATAACTTACCTCCAGCCGGTTGCTGCGCACCAAAAGTGAAGTTTGTAGGTGGTGCAGTGGAGCCAAAAACAAATCCTGTGACGCCACCATTCGAAGTTGCAGCACCACCAAAATTAAATGTTGTAGGAGGTGATGTTAGGGAAGCTGGTGGCTCAAACAGCTTCGGAGCAACTGGTGCTTGGGGTTGCTGTCCAAATGAGAAAAGTGAGGTGCTTGGAGCCGCTGGTGGATTTTGTGCTGCCGACTGCACATTACCGAATAGGCCTCTGTAACATAATCAATCATATTTTAGCTCTGAAACTCAACAGTCGCATAGCATGGCATGCAAAACGTACAGAAAACACGAAGGATTTATTTGAGCAATTTAATACAATAAGAATATACTGTGAGTCTTGCGAGAGCTCCTACACAGCCAAATTTGCGTAATTTTTTCTACCGATGTGGCCACAGTGAGAGCGCGTAAGGGCCACAGTTATTTAATGGAATATTATGAAAGCAGGAAGAGGAATGCAAGCCAAAAAAAACACGAAAAAAAATTAGCAACAACCGAGAATAAATGGCAACGCGCACCAGGCTAGCCGGTGCGATCATGCGTTTTGTGCAATTCAGCCCAT